ACTCTTCTTTGATGACTTTCCGGTGTGGCATGTAGTAAACCGGATGGTTATCAATGACATCCTTTGGCATAACTTCTACATGATAATGCAACATATACTGTTGTACAACTGTATCATAACGGTCAAGGAAACGACCTTTTCCGGATAGTTTGTTCACTAGATGGTTGAAATAAATGTCGCGATTGTCACCGATGAGGTGCTTGCATGCCTCTTTTCATGACAAAACGACAGAATATTTGGCGTTGGACTTCCGGCTGGTCTTTCTGACGTGATCCAGGGATTTGATTCTAGACGATTCACAAATGTCATCAATGCCTATTGTTTGCAGTTCCCAAAAAGATCGTAAAATTTGCAAAGTCCTTTGGTCTTCATCTTCACTGATGTTGACTCGCATAACATACACCATTGAGTTAGTGCTGCGGTCGATAGCGCCTCTCTGATGAATCGGTCTTTGCAGCATGCAACCGAAGCAGTGTTGATGGCTGCAAGCCCTCGAACTTTCGTGCTGTAGATAACTTTACCAGTCAGAATGTTCCACAGGTAGTCAGATTCAGTGAGCACACTAATTGCTGGCTCTTCATCAACTTGCACGAACATATGGTCATCAGCTAGCAACTTGCTTTTCAAATGAAACTTCTGCATGAAATGGCTGTCAGATATTGAAATGAAACTTCTGTAGAAATGGTGTCGAGCTGGCCCAGAGTGTTGAGCCCCGTTCCATTAGTTTCGGATCGTCACAAAACGTGTGCTGCGCAGCTCACGTGCTTTCCGAGCCGGAGAGAAAGTCGTGCCTTCTGCTTTGCATTCGGATATAAACAAGAGTAAAGAAAACATTAGAATTCAATCAACCAAAGGAACAAGCAGGATTTAGAAGAGGCTACTCAACAATTGACCACATTCATACTATCAATCAGGTAATAGAGAAATGTTCAGAGTATAACCAACCACTATACATAGCCTTCATAGAATACGAGAAGGCGTTTGATTCAGTAGAAATATCAGCCGTCATGCAGACACTGCGGAATCAGGGCGTAGATGAAGTATATATAAACATTCTGGAAGAAATCTACAGGGGATAAACTGCTACCATAGTGCTTCATAAAGAAAGCAACAGAATACCAATCAAGAAGGGTGTAAGGCAGGGGGACACAATCTCCCCAATGCTATTTACCGCGTGCTTACAGGAGGTTTTCAGAAGCCTAGAATGGGAACAGTTAGGGATAAGAGTTAATGGAGAATACCTTAGTAGCTTGCGCTTCGCCGATGACATTGCATTGCTTAGTAACTCAGGGGACGAATTGCAACTCATGATTACGGAGTTAGACAAGGAGAGCAGAAAGGTGGGTCTTAAAATTAATCTGCAGAAAACGAAAGTAATATACAACAACCTCAGAAAGGAGCAGCGCTTCGAGATAAGTAATAGCGCACTTGAAGTTGTAAAAGACAATGTCTACTTAGGGCAGGTAATTACCGCAGAGCCTAGCCATGAGATTGAAGTAACTAGAAGAATAAGAATGGGGTGGAGCACATTCGGCAAGCACTCTCAAATTATGACAGGTAGATTGCCACTATCCCTCAAGAAAAAGGTATATAACAGCTGTATCTTGCCGATACTTAGCTACGGAGCAGAAACCTGGAGACTTACAAATAGGGTTCAGCTTAAATTGAGGACGACGCAGCGAGCAATGGAAAGAAAAATGGTAGGTGTAACCTTAAGAGACAAGAAGAGAGCAGAGTGGATTAGGGGACAAACGGGGGTTAAGGATATCATAGTTGAAATAAAGAAGAGGAAATGGACATGGGCCGGGCATGTAGCACGTAGACAGGATAACCGCTGGTCATTAAGGGTAACTAACTGGATTCCCAGAGAAGGGAAGCGGGTTAGGGGGAGACAGAAGGTTAGGTGGGCAGATGAGATTAAGAAGTTTGCGGGTATAAATTGGCAGCAGCAAGCACAGGACCGGGTTAACTGGCGGAACATGGGAGAGGCCTTTGTCCTGCAGTGGACGTAGTCAGGCTGATGATGATGATGATGATAAACAAGAGAGGAGAACTTGCCCAGTCAATAAGGCCGACTTTCGGCTTCATCGCAGCTTCACAACTAGTGACGTCAGGGCCTCTCCTACCTTTCCTTCGTCCGTGAAGGTAGATGTACATGAGCCTCCACCAATAGAAGCGCACTTCAGGTGACGTCATGCGCCAGACTACACTCTAGCCGCGGACCCAGCCGACGGAGAACATGCCTAACATGGCCGCCTTCACTTCGAACTGGGCTGAGTACTGTTGGCTGTGTGGGTCTCCCTTCATCAGAGTAAATTCGAATTATGTGTGGTGGTCTGTCATGCCGCAAATATTATTGTGAGCTTACGATACACAATTTGTGCCACTTGTATTTGTTCTGAGCCCTGAGCTGGTGAAGAGAGATTGCAGATTGCAGCAAACATTGGGGACGCTACGCTGCGCTTCATCTGGAACAGGATCCCGTGGCAACATACCGGTGCAAACAAACATCGTGCGTGTTTGTCTTATGGTGTTTTATTTATGTCTAAGTAAACTTGCAGGGAACAGAGTTATTCAATCATATGAGTTGCTAAACTCCCCATAAGCTCCATGTATCGAAATCCAAACATGTCATTGGTCTCCTTGTGTGGAGTGAGCAGATTGTCATGCCACCTGTTGATCTTCATGCCCACTACTAAATGCATTATTTGTGGTTTATGTTGTCACTCCCAGGTGGCGTGAACGTCAGCTAACTTCTGTAGTACATTAAAGTAGTACATCAACACTAGTACATCAACAGGCCCAGATGGCATTCCAATTATGCTGATAAAGACATTGGGTTCGAAGTCTAAACAGACTTTGAGAGAGGCAGTCAGCAGAACAATAATCGATGCTGAAGTCCCCGATGGATGGAAACTTAGCAGGATGAGCATGATCTATAAAGGAAAGGGGGACAAAGCTGACATAAACAACTACCGTCCTATAACAGTGACATCAGTGGTCTACAGGCTGGCGATAAAGATTATAAAGGAAAGACTGCAGGCATGGATAGAGGATGAGGGAGCACTGGGTGAACTGCAGAATGGGTTTCAGAAACACAGGAGGTTGGAAGACAATCTGTTCTCACTGACGAAGTGCATCGAAATAACGGAAAAGGAACACAGGCCCCTGTGGCCAGCATTTCTGGATATCAAGGGAGCATATGATAGCGTGGTTCAAGAGGACTTGTGGGGAATACTGCACACACTAGGTGTGGAAGATGGAGTCACTAATTTTTTAAAGGATATCTATAAAGGTAACAAGGCAGTTATAAAGTGGGAAAGACAGGTATCCAAGCTTACAGAAGTAAAACGGGGGCTTAGGCAGAAGTGTATTTGTCACCCTTGTTATTTATGACGTACCTACAAGGATTAGAGGCCAAATTAGAGGGAAGTGGACTTGGCTTCAACCTCTCTTTAGTCAAACAGTTAAAACTCATTGATCAGGCACTGCCAGCATTAATGTACGCAGCTGATATAGTGCTAATGGCCGACAACAAGGAAGATTTGCAGAGATTGGTGGACATCTGTGGTAATGAGGGAGATAGGTTAGATTTCAGATTCAGTAAGGAAAAATCAGCAGTCCTGATTTTTAATGATAATCAAGGTTGTGAGATTAGGATACAGGAAGTCACGCTAGAGATAACAGATAAATACAAATATCTGTGCGTATGGATAATCAATGGGACCGAGCACCTAAGGGAACACGAGTTGTACGTTACGACTAAAGGTAACAGGAATGCAGCAGTGATGAAAAGTAGAGCACTGTGGAGTTACAATAGGTATAATGTGATGAGAGGAATATGGAAAGGGGTCATGGTTCCTGGTCTGACGATCGGCAATGCGGTCTTGTGCATGAGATCAGAAGTTCAAGCAAGATTAGAAATTAAGCAACGTGGAATAGGTAGGCTTGCTTTAGGAGCTCACGGGAATACACCAAACCAGGGAGTACAAGGTGATATGGGATGGACATCATTTTAGGGCAGGGAAGCTAGCAGCAAGATTAAATTTGAGAAGCGATTGCGAGAAATGGGGGAGAAGCGTTGAGCTGGGAAGGTTTTCAGCTACTTGTACATGAAGAATGTTGATACAAAACGAAGGAAGCGAACTAGGAAATTGGTTGGTAAATACTTGGAAAACAGCAGGTGGCAGAACCAAAATGAACTATCGGTTAAGAAGAAAGTGAAGGGAACGGAGACTGACGTGTGGAGAATTGGCATGATTAAGAATTCTGCACTAAAGATCTATCGAACTTTTAAGCAGGAAATTAGCAAGGAAAGGATCTACGATTAATACTCAGGGTAGTTCTCTACTTTTTGAGGCCAGGACGAGAGTATGGCGAACCAAGACATATCGGGCCTAATATGAAGGGGTAGACACAATATGCAGTGCATGTGTAGAGGAGGAGGAAACGGCCGAACACTTGATGTTGTTCTGTAAAAAGCTTCATCATACAGTTCAGGATGATGGCGCAGAGTTTTTCAAAGCACTGGGGTTTAGGGACAGGGAGGGAAAAATAGACTTTAAGCGGGTAGAATTAACTAGAAGAAGGTTATCTGACTGGTGGCTAAAGTCAAGCCACAAGTGAAAATTAAACCCTTGAGTGCAAAGTGGAAGCCCTCAACTTCACTATTTAAATGAAAAAAAAAATATGTATCTAGTGGTTAGTCCACTGAGTATTACGGCTAGGTGGCCTTAGCCGTCCCCCGATCTAAAGGGTGCAGCAACATCCATCCATCCATCCATCCATCCATCCATCCATCCATCCATCCATCCATCCATCCATCCATCCATCCATCCATCCATCCATCCATCCATCCTTCCATCCATCCATCCATCCATCCATCTATCCATCCGTCCATCCTTTTAGTGTATGTGCTCACTATTCTGAACTTGACAACATTCAGTTTCATTGAGTGCTGCAAATGTTTGATTAATCCTGCCGATGGTTTATTTTTGCAGGCCGAGTGAACTGGATGCACTGACCTTTGGTCACCTGTATTGCCTAATGACGACGGAGCTTCTGGATGGTCGGTTGGGCCAGATTGTCAGTGTATTTAAGAATCTTGTCGACCTGTGCCATCGAGTTGAATCGCAGTACTTTGCTGATTCATAGCTCACAGCTTGAAATCATGATGACACTGCACCAGAATAAATGCAACCAAGTTTTATTTCTCTTGTGCTGTGCTGTTTCTTCTCCTTAAATATAGACGTGCATTGCATTATTTAGTGCTGCCTCAATGCATGACAATAATAATAACGTAGAAGCAATCAGAAATAGCCCTTACCTCCTAACAAGGTCAAGAAAACACATCTTGAAGCAGCGACATTACTCTGCATAATAGTCTTGTTTTGCTGTTTCTAATCATTGCTAATATTTTATTTCTTGGCAAAACGAAGTCTCTTCACTATTTATCTAGCCGCCTATGTCTGTATGCTCTGATGATCGCTTACTCAACTTGGTGTAAAAGGAAAGTAAGAAGGTTTGATGAATATGTACGTCTCTTCATGACACGTTTAACGTGAAAATTTTCTCATGTTTGTTGTCGAATGTTTTCTTTTTGGGCTGACACCACGGGTCGCGGTATGTGCAGATGCACCACAGGTGATCGAGAGTCAAAGCAGAAACGACGAGAACACTCGTTTGGAATTTATGCGTGAGAGCGTTAAGAAAAAATGTGGCTGATTGCTCTTTCTAGGAATCGGTACAACACAAAAATGAAACGCGTCTTCACAATGATAGTTGAGAGATTTTGTGCATTCTTTTGCCGCAAGGGCAAATGAATAATTGCTATAGCAACAAATGCGAAGTCATGCGGAGAATGACAATCGGCTCGAAACTTGCAGCGCCGCCTCAAGCAGAAAGCAAGCGCGAAATGAGCCTACACATCGGAAGACTGGGCACGATGGCACCGTCGACATGCGGCTCACAAATTGCCCGTTCGTCTACATTTTTCAGTTCGTCTTCGGCCTGCTGCACAGCGCAGGCGATGTGGGCCTCGGAACAACCGGGGCGACTGCGACTGCGCTGGACCAGCGTGCAAAGAGCGACCACGTGCCGACGCTGCCGACACGGATCTTCTTCGACTATCGACTGCATCAGCTTACCGGCACATGCATCCACACATCTGCCCTGGAGCGCCACCTGGCGTCTGCGCTGTCCGGGACTATATATGCGTTCCTCAGGAAACCCCCTGTCACTGGGCACGGTGGCATCGTCGACATGCGGCTCACAAATTGCCCGTTCGTCTACATTTTTCAGGTGAGGAAGCAATATGGAAAATGCAACCGCTTAAGTGACCGTTTCTTGCTGGTGTTGCCGTGCCCTTGGCAGTATTGCACTGTGCATGAATCATGCATGACATATTTCAAGAAACTACTGTTAATGGTTGGAGATATCGAAAGCAATCCCGGCCCCGAGCTCGAAAAGATTGCTAAACAACTGACGGAAATCGCTGCAGACATTAAGGATATCAAAGAAAGCGACTCTCGGATATTGATAACAAGCTTGACCTAATTACAAAACTTGAGGCTGAAGTCGCGGCATGCCACAAAGAAATGGCTTCTATGAAGGGGGTAATCAGGGGCCTTGAAGCAAGAATAGACGACTTGGAAAACCGCAGCAGGAGGTCAAACCTAATCGTTTACGGCATACCGGAACCGGAAGGAGAAACAAGTGAAACCCTAGAACAGGCAGTCAATGACGGCATAATTACAAAAATTCTTCAACTTGAACCTGTGGCCATTGAGCGCATTCATCGCTTAGGAAGAGTTGGACCAAACAAGACAAGGCCAGTCATACTTAAATTACTTGATGCCAGAGAAAAAACTGCGGTACTAAAAAATGGCTTTAAACTGAAGGGCACAGATTTCTCTATAGGAGAGGAATTTTGCCGAAAACTCAGAGAAACCAGAAAAAAACTCTGGGACAGTGCTAAGCGAAACCGCGAAAATAAAGATAAAGTGTCGTTAGCATATAATAAGCTGTTCATTAACAGCCGTGTGTTCACCTGGGATGACGAAAAGCACGAAAGGGTAGAAATAGAGAAGTACGACAAAGTTGTACAAAGAAAAAACGAAGCAAGCCGGCCCGCAACGCGCCAAAGCCAGCGCAAGAAAAAATAACGTTATTGAACATAAACGCCCGCAGTATCTTGAATAAGGTACAGCCATTTGAAAGCCTACTACTCGATCGAGAACCCGATATAGTGGCAGTTACCGAAACGTGGTTATCGGCATCCATCTCGAGTCATGAAGTTGCTCCCCCAAATTATGTACTTGTTTTTAGAAAACACCACCAGTCACGTGGTGGAGGCGTGGCGTTAGTAATAAAGAAATCAATCCCACTAATCATACTTCCAGAAGTAGCAGATGCTGAGGCAGTTTTTTGTAAAATTATTACCAAAAGCACAAGTATAGTTGTTGGCTCCATCTATCGAAGCCCCGGATGTGGGCACGAATGCATAACCGCCATACAAGAGTATTTGCACCAACATGCTGGAAAGTGCCGGGTTATTCTTATGGGGGATTTCAACCTTGCCGACTTTAACTGGGCTACCATGCAGTACACGACAAAGGCTTCAGAAGCACTTGTCGATATGATGCTAAGTTTTAACCTGCGCCAGATTGTGGAATGCCCCACAAGGGTACAAGGCGAGTGTCGCAGTGTACTTGACTTAATCTTGTTGAGTAATAACTTCCTTTTAGAACAAACACAGGTTGAAATAATTGAAGGGATATCAGATCACAGAATACCGATGTGTGTATTACCGCTAGATTGTTCAATACCGATGCAAACGGCAGCGCAAACCATAATTAATTTTTGACAAAGCAAATGACGCTTCCATACAAACCTACTTGGCTCATAAATTCCCAGTGTTTTCGGAATTGGCCTCAGATTCCTTCTCTGATGTAAACGGTGTCTGGTTGTGTTTCAAAGATATAGTGTCGCACTGTGTAACACATATTATTCTTGTGCGGTTAAAAAAACCGTTAAAAAATAACCCATGGATTACACGTGAAATAATACATGCAAAACGCCAACTCAAAAGGATTCGGAAGGCAAACAAGGTACCAGGCACCAACCCATTTAACGCTTCCAGGCTAGCGCTTGCAGTAAAAACTTTTAAACAGAAATCCAGAGAAGCGAAAAGTCATTATTTCAACACTGTACTCACCAGCTTCTTAAAAAACAACCCACATAGATTTTGGAACCACTTCCGCCAAAAAAACACACTCACAACTAAGCTTTCGTCCATTGAAAAAAAAGATAAAGTCAACAGATACAACCAATTATTCCATTCTGTCTTCACTAAAGATAATGGTGTCATGCCGGACTTACATCCGCGGCCTGGTCCCACTATCCAGCCACTCGTTATCACAGACACCGGTGTTCTTAATCTTCTGCTTGGCCTAGACACCAAAAAAGCCTGTGGTCCGGACAATATACCAAATCAATTTTTTAAACGATACGCACAGTGGTGCAGCAGATACCTGGGGATTATTTTTTGGAAATCCCTCTCAACATCCAAACTACCAGAAGATTGGAAAATAGCAAAAATTATTCCGATACACAAATCAGGAGATAAATCTATTGAAACAAATTTCAGACCAATATCGCTAACCAGCACGGCATGTAAACTACTTGAGCATATCATTCTAAAACATTTAACCGTTTTTCTTGAACAAGAAGGCATTCTGTCCAATAACCAGCATGGTTTTCGCCAAGGTTTATCCACCATAACACAGTTAACCGAAGTAATACACGATCTCGTGCTAGGCATTAACAATCACCGCCAAACCGACATAATCCTACTCGACCTATCCAAGGCATTTGATTGCGTTTGTTATACAAAGCTAATAGCTAAATTAAGAAGCCTTATTGGAGATGGAGAAATTATCGCTTGGGTTCAAGATTTCTTGTTTAATAGATCCCAGTTTGTTATTTTTGAACATTTTGCATCAGGCACAGTACCAGTGACGTCAGGAGTGCCCCAGGGCTCCGTGCTTGGACCCTTGTTATTTCTCGTTTATATAAATGATATAACTACTAATATAGATAGTAAAATAAAGTTATTCGCAGACGACTGTATCATTTATCGAGAAATTAACAATCAACAAGATCACCTCTCTCTCAACAAGTCTCTTAATACCGTTGCAGAATGGTGCTCTCATTGGCAGATGACAATCAACGTAAAAAAATCTGCATGCATGACGATAACACGGAAAAAAGAACCCTCTAACTTTCGCTATAACATAAACGGTGCTGCTCTCACGAATGTACACAGACATAAATATCTAGGCTTAACAATAACATCAGATCTAAAGTGGGACGCTCACATTGACAATGTTACTTCTTCTGCTATGCAAAAACTATTTTTTATTTGCAGATCGCTCCATCTGGCACCCACCTCGACGAAACTACTAGCCTACAAAACATTCATTAGGCCAATCCTTGAATATGGAAATACTGTATGGTTTCCTCATACCGTGACTAACATAAAAAAATAGAAAAGGTACAAAGGAAGGCCATAAGATTCATACATAACAAATTTAAACTGGCTAATTCATCCACTACCCTTCTAGCTGTTTCTGAGCTTCCCACGCTCGAAACACGGGCGAAGCAGGCACGTTTGAAATTTCTTTATCAACTCCTACATAATTATTTCAAAATAGATGTCTCAAACTACGTTGAATATTCGCAAACACGAGCTACCCGGCACCAACATACAAATACTCTATTAGATTGTAAATGTAACAATGATGCGTTTAACTACTCTTTTTTTCCAGTTGCTATCCACGAACCCCTTTCACCACTAATGCCCAGTCATTGTGCGATTTCTTATCAAGAATTGAAAATAACGTCTTTTAGCGTCCTGATATGTCTGCTTTTCTGTGACATGCAAACCAGCATTCACTTGTATTTGGTGTGTATGGCGTGCATAAGTGCTGATTGTATGCTTCAAGGTTGCTGATTTGTATTTTTACACATTATTTACCAATTTACGATCCTGAAAGTGTTAAGTGCTCTTTGTAACTGTATACTGTAGTGCCCACCCGCCATGGTCTCTTTGGAGATTAGCAGTATTGTGAATAAATAATAAACAAATAAATAAGATGAATCATCGAAGATCCCGGGGGACACTGAACAGAATAACAAAGATTCCGGATGGATT